TGGCTTTGCAGATACCGCCTGGGAACCTATGCTTCCTCGGCCAGATACTAAAGTGCAACTTTCTGGCCGCCAAAGAGAGCAAAGCCTTTCTTTTTATTTCACGGAAAAAAAACCCAAACCCACCCAAAAACCAGCCAAACAAGTGAAGGGGAAACGGTGATTTGTTTAGCGCTTGCTCTGGATGGGTTTTGGAAAAACACCTGTTGCGATGCTTGAAATGATACACAGGAACAGAGTTTTGGGTGTCCCCTTGGAAAAACTAAAACTGGGCATCAAAAGCTACTCTTCTTGCTCCCTTCAGAGGGATACCCTAGGTCTTGGAACTGCTTAGTCTATGGAACCGGGGAGTGTATGAAGAACATATAAAACTTGGGTGTCATGAGAAGGATTCACTGCCTGAGTAATGCAGATGCGATTGTAAATAGGTCCTTTCTGACCTCAGAAATCTATGAAGTACTGTATTAACTCACATTGGAAAGTGCTTTTGCTGTTGAGGGACCTGGGAAACTTAACCCTGTAACATACTTTGTCGTGGCTGGTATGGTTAGCAGATAGTTGTTGAGATAGGATGTGCGAAATACCAGCTGGGTTGGATCCCTAGGCTTAATATCAAGTATCATAAACAATTGTATGGTACATCTTTTTAGGAAAAAAAACCCCAAACCCCAGAACAAAACACTTCTCTGTTCCGTTGAGGGTGAAGGAGGAAGTTGGTAAATTGTCGCTTTCTTGCATGGATGTTAGGTGAACAAAAGGAATCTGTAATACATCACTATTCATTGTTCTTAATCCATTGAAACCTTTTAGCTTTGTTTTGGTTTGTGATGATAGAATGTTAGATATAGGATAGACTCATTATCTCAAAAGTTTACAGCTATAGTGAAGTTGTAGGATAGAAGATAAAGCATACTTTTTTTTCTGTGGACTTTTCTTTTTAGTTTCTTACATTATGTCATGTTCAACTCTTACAGACACTTCATTCGAACCTTCTGTTGCACTGGCAAGTCTTGTGCAGCACATACCATTACAGATGATTACAGTACTTATCAGGAGCCTTACTACAGATCCAAATGTGAAAGATGCAAGTATGACTCAAGCTCTGTGCAGGTACTGTATTTCATTGTGAAGGGGGGAAAAGTCTCATTTTCTTATTCTTGCCTTTTTTGAAGTTATTTGTCACTTAGGTTCTATTTAAAAAAACCCAAACAAACAAGAACCATCCATAAAAAAAACCTTTACAAGTGGTACTCTAAGTTATGCTATTTATCATGTTGAGGTAATATTTATGATGCTATGGATATTACTGGCATGGTTTCAGTTTAAGGATGCTGCCTTCATTGCTAATGTGGCTTCTTTCTCATGTTTTGCTTGGGTGGATGTAGAAAGAAGGTTAAATAGAAACTAAAAGGAACCCAACTGTGTTCCTTTTAGGTGACATCTTATGTTTAGATCTCCCATCTTATGGGAGATGGCATAAATAGAGTTAAACTCCATGGAGTTTGCAGTCAAGCTGCGAAACAAGGCCTTGTTTTCAGAAGATCAACCTTTCTGCTTTTTCAAGCAGCAGAGTGGCTCTCTCATGTGATTGTCTTACCCATCCTCTCCTCTTCTGAAGAGAAGAGTTGGTTAGAAATGAGTTTTACAGCTTAGTTTTGAGGTTTTTTTCTCCTTAGGTATCTTTATGACTTTTTAGTAGGATTCGCAGAGAACAGCTTCTATTTCCATCTTCACTCAAGCCTCCAGAGTTTTTCTGGATGTTCTTTTAAATAATACGAGAATGGGACTGATGTAAAAACAATTGCCTACTATGCTGCTTGTCACTAACCTAAACAGGAATGAACATTAAGATTGGCAGCACTGTTAACATACTGTGATTTAGATGGCAATCGTGGTTGGTATCTTCAGATACGTGAATACTAGTGATGCAGAAAGATGACAATGGAAGAAAGATGAAGACCTTGAAGTTTTGGGTTTTTTTTTATAAAGCCTATGGAAGAAGCTGTTACTGAGCACTGAAGTGTAGAAAAATGAGTAAAGCAGTCAAACATGAGGTTGTTAGAAATTTGTATTGTTTAAAAAAATTTTTTGAAATTTTTCAACTAAAAGAATTTAACGTGTACTGTATTTTTTTAACTACATCCGATTGAGTGTAGTGTAGTACTTGCACATTCATGTAGTGTAGCACTTACTTATCTTGGTGAAATACTGAGTTGTTTTCACACTGAAAACACTCCTTGTATTTACATTAAATTGAGAAGCCATATTTCATTTGAAAATGTAATTAATGAGAAGCAGCAGCATTAATATTGTAATTTGGAGTAAGACATATTGTTCGGGACTTTAAAAGAATCTGCTGTACTGAACAGATTTTAAAAGCTGTGTGCCCACTCTAACATTCAAAGCTGGGAAATTCAGAAGGATTTGTGCATGCTAATAACTTTCCAGTAATGTGCTAGTGATTAATTTTCATGTTAGTGTAATTTTAACATTTATGTTGTATTACCTGCTTCAACACAATGTGTTCGTATAATTGTAGCTTTAGAATGGCTTCTATGTATGCCTCTGCATAGGGAAGTAATGCAGTGCTGATCTTTGGGTATAATAGGAGCTGTAATTATCAAATAAGTGCTCTTCTTAGTTTTAGCCATGTGGTGGGTTTTTTCCTCTTGTTTTTGAAAGGTCAGTGCGATCTTACTTGCCTTGTTCATTCTTTGAAGTAATACTTGATTTTAAGAGCCTCTAGTTTTGTTCTGTGGAACTTTCTAGGTACCCCTTGTTATTTTTATTTGTAGATACTCTCATGTCAACACTCTATCCAGTTTCTTATTCTACCTCTGGCAACCCTTTGCAGTAATTACTCTCTCTGGTTTAGAGGAGTAATTGTAAAGTGGATAATACAGCTGGAATGTCTGGAGCACTGAATGACAATGTTGTCATCAGGCTTGCATCATTCCCAGGAGGTGCAGAACTCCAGGCACAACAAGGTCTCCTGATGAGAGTCAACAGAGCTTTGGCAACTGCAAATTAGAGGCCTTGTTGCTCACTTCCTAAGGATAACTTTCATGACACAGCAGAGTCTGTCTAAACTTGAACACAGATTATTTACTAATCTGTAATTAGAAGACTAATAAATTGAATCTGTTCAGTGGGGGGTTATATTAGGCACAGGATTGTATAAGAAAGGGTGCTTGCTTTTTGGTGTCACTACGCTGTTCTTAATTGGCTCAGCTGTCTCATGAAACCTTACCTGAAGCATCAGTGAGGAAAAGCAGAAGACTGTTGAATCTCTTCTGGGATACATGACTACTTTAAGGGTCTACTTCAGATGTCTCAGAGGAAGTTGACTGCCTGTACTCAGTATTCTGACAAGTATAATGTTTGTTTGCACTTTAATGCAAGTATCTTTGTTAAGAGAAACAAAATTTTGTGAATAAAAACTCCAGATGTGACCAGGCCCTTTGTCCTGTTGGTAAAAATGTAAAATATTGTAAAAGATGTTAAATGTTTTTGGGGGTGCCTGGTAGTCTGAGGATCTTCTGTTGTTGTTTTGGGTGTGTTTTCTGATCTGAGGGATTTGCATCTGAGCTGCCAAATTCTTTGTGTGATGTGGCTAAGAAGATACTTTCGTGAAAAGTTACTGTCTGAGGTTTCACAGAGAGACTTTTTTCTCTCCAGGGATATCGGGAGTACTGTCCTTGTTGGGCTCATATGGATAGCAGACTTGCTCATTTTAGGGTGGTATTAGGCTGAAGGTCCCCTTGAGGCCTTTAAGGTTCTCTTAATCTGGTCAAACAAAGAACGTCCTCTGTGTCTTTATTTGTGATCATCATGTCCCATATGAATATTTTACTTTGTATTAAAAATGCTGTCATTGATTGCAACAGGAGCAGGAGCCAAGTAAATGCAATGCAGAGAGGATTTAGTAACCAAAATTTCCAATCTTCACCTACCAGATCTCAGATTTGATGCTTTTTAGGACATTCTCAAGCACATCTGCAAGTTTACTTCTGTTTCCTCTTCTGGCTTTTGTTTCTGCTCTTGAGAGTGTTGTCTCTGTTTTTAAGAGCAGAAACAAATTTTTAAAGATTTTTAAAGATGGAATTTCTGTCTGTAACATTTATACAGAGAATGAGGTGTCTCTTTACAAGGTTAATCATACTGAACTGTTAGCTGTTGCCCTATTAGTAACAATGTTGAGTAGTTTAGTAGTTAATTATACTGACTAGAGATGACAGGACGGCCCATTACATAACCAGAGCAATGGGATGGAACACAAGGAGCCCCAGCTCCCACCCAAAAGCACTGTTTTTCGTTTAGAGTTTGTGAGTCAGTGTGGTTGAAAGTGCACATAGCACAAAAACGGTAATCGGGTGTTTAGAACAGTGGTTCTAAGGTAGAGCTCTACAGAAAACTCTTTACTTGTCTAAAAAGTTAATGAAGAAACCCAAATATATCTTCATTAGGCTTAAATTAACTGTGCAGCTGTTTGTTCCACTGCTGAAAAGTGTCAAGCCTACTAATTGGGGGTGGGTTGGGTTTGAGGATGACAGGACTATGAGGTTTGGGGCCTGTTTTTAGGTTAAGGTTAATTCTTTGCAGGTGAAAGCAGTTTTGGCCTACGTTTTTGATTCCCCGTTTTAGAAAGTATATCGAAAGGGTGCTTAGAATAAACATATTTGAATTTAACATCTCGCGGAAATGAGAGCTTTGTGTAAATTCAGAGCAATGATTATGATGATGCCATGTTTTTTCCCAAGGGGTTTTTTATAGTAACATGGAATAAACCCAGTAAGATCTGTGCTTGACTGTTAAAAAGGAAGTCCTAATGATTCCTTATTTTAGAGAAGCCTTTGAATGTTTTATATGTAGATAGTACATAATTCTAAGATAGATAAATTTTAGAATGTGTGTACTATACATTTTTCAGATCCAAATTATAAACTCTGTGTAAATTTTAGGTTGTTTATGGTAATACAGCATGCCCAGAATGCATGTTTGGTGTTGCTAAAGATCGTGGTTTTCTTTTTAGTGTGGAATCTGAGGACCGAAACTGATTTTGGTCTGTTTGGAGCTTTCTTAATCTCCAGGAAGAACGTAGGAGCTGATAGTTTTGCTTCAGATCAATAATCACTAATAGTGGCTGTTCATTAGACTGGTTATTTGTAACCTGTTTGGTTCTGTGCTAGAATTTAGCCTCTTAAAATAATCTTTATAAGGAGCTTTTTTCAGAAAAGAAGTAAAGAAATATACTTTGAACTTGTTCTTTTCATTGAATTATAGAATAGAATCATAGTGTTATGTAGATTGAGTGGAGCCTTTGGAAGTCATCAGGTCCAATCCCGCTCAAAGCGGGGCCAGCTTCAAAGTCAGACATTGTTGCTCAGGGCCTCGTCCGATTGAGTTGAGAGCTTTCTGCAAGGATGGATGTGCCTTGGTCTTGCTGTATAACTTGTTTTAATGTCTGACCATGCTCGTAGTGAAAAATTTTTTGTTCCACTTAATCGGTGGTGCCTCATGTAGTTTGAAGAAGGGGATCTTGCAGACAGTTAAAGAAAATCCAAAATATTGCCAAGTAAAATCTCAGAAGAAGAAGAAAGCCTGAATTTCATGTATTAGCTGGTACTGCCATATGATATTGTGTCTTAGAATTGCTTAAACTATGAACAGTCTGCTTGTCTGCCTTAACAGACAATTTGCACTGATACTTGAACTATCCTTAGAAGGATAGAATACCCCTATTTTCTGTTGCTGATATTTCACTATCTTTTCTAGGCACATATAAAGTCCCTTCACTTTTTCTTAGCTGTAGTAAAATTCTTTCTTTTGGGGCACATGTAGACCCCATGCTGCTGATGGCTATTATAAGATCCTTATAATACCTGCTGTGATGTATTTAAAACTACTAGATTTTATCTTTTTAACTGAGAGTGTTTGAGTTGGCTTCCAGGAATGTAGTTCTAAGTTGAAGAGGCTTCCTTTTCAAATTGAAATGTTAAATAGTCAGTTTTGGTCTCCTTTGGGGTAAAAGGTTCCCAGGTACAGGCACTTTTTCACCTGCAGTAGGAAGTTTTTGCCAAAAAATAAAAATGTTAGCTTAATGCTTATAAAACCAGGGTTCATATTCTTAAATAACAAGTAATTTTACATGCTTATGTATTTTGGCAGAGTGTATTTACTTTGTAATCAGTAATGATCTATTAATACATTAAGAGTTAAATGACATGAGATAATTAGAATTATTTTACTACTTGCCTAACATTCTTGCATTGCTTCTTGTGAATCTCTGTGTAAGTGTGTAACTATCTGGGTAATGTACAGGATCTTTTTGTTGAGATTAAACTTCCTGGCATATTGGTGGTTTTATTTTTTTTTTATTTTTCATTAATCTTTCAGAATGATTGACTGGTTGTCCTGGCCTCTGGCTCAGCATGTGGAAACATGGGTGATTGCACTGCTGAAAGGATTGGCTGCAGTCCAGAAATTTACCATCCTCATTGATGTCACTCTGCTTAAGATTGAATTGGTACGTTGGAAAAGCACATTCAAAATTGAAGGAGGGGGTAAGGAATTTAACAGCTATACAATTGTGTAGCATCTTTTGTATCGCAACACATATTATCTTATTATTCTGCAAAGATGCTGTAAATGTATCTGCAGCTTTCAGTTGCATATAACGATTCTGCCTGTTTCAAATGGTTGTAGATTTGGAGTTCTGTTTAGATTTTCACTGAAATTTCACTTTCTAGATTTACTGAAATAAATATGGATTTTTTTAGGTCTTTAATCGACTTTGGTTTCCTCTAGTGAGGCCTGGTGCCCTTGCTGTCCTTTCCCACATGTTACTTAGTTTTCAGCATTCTCCCGAAGCTTTTCACTTGGTAAGTTACTAAAATGGTTTTAAATTCTTTGAAATGTCATTCACGTGTGATTTCTAAAGTGGACGTAAAGAGTAACAGAATTGATGAGCTTGGATTTCCTCGTTGTTTCAAGGTTCCAGAATCAGATTTCTGTGGTTCACAGACCACTAGGCTTTCTAACTTCCAGGTTCAACCACTTAATCTGTAACTGAAAGCGAGCCTTGTTCTTCCTGGTATGTACATAGAAATATCTGGGCGCCGCATTCTGTCTTTGACAGTATACTTCTGGAAATCCATTTTATGTAATGTGAAGTCTACTGATAAAGTTGGGCTGCAAGCAGACTTTCAAGCACAGCTATTTGGGGAAAACAGATAACCAATTATCTGCTATATATGACCTCTAGTCACCTTGGATAGGTGCATTAGACCAAGAAGTGCTTCACTTTAAGAAAGCTACCCTATCTGTGTTTAATGTACGGATGGGCAAACTGAAGGATACTATTTTTAATGGCCACTCTTCAAAATGCAGTTCATGCAGATGATGATGGTTCATATTAGTACAGCAAGATGTATAGTGCCTTCCCTATTCTCATACTCGGGGTTTAGCTTAAATTTAAAGTGAAATACAGGTCTTTCAGACTTCACCATAGTAACAACTTGGCACACTTTCTCTAAGGTGTCCCCAAGGCTCTTAGGCCTGAAGGGATCACACATACTTTGATTAGGGTCAGAGTAATTGCCTTATGCCTGTTAACACTTTTTTTTTTTTTAATGACAGAAGTCTGAAGCTTCTTTCTCCTCCCTCTGCTGCCCTAATCTTGGCCTAGGATAGAAATTTGAGTCACAAATGAAACAGCAAAGTAGCCTTGAATATGCTCAAAACATAAATATTTCATATGTCTTGCTGTCTTGCTTTTCTTTGTTCCTGAGAGACAAAACATTAGTGAGAAAAATGTAAAATATGAGGACACTTATTCTGGAAGTAGGCATTTATGTTAACAAGGAAGATTTCTGCCATAGGCTGCATGCAGTACTGCATAAATATCTGTCTTCAGGAGTTTGTGACCATTTTCCCTCCATTTTAAACAACCTTCTTCACTATTGTTTTTTGAGGTACCGCTGTCATTTAGTATCCTGTAATGTTTTCCTGCATTTCAACTACTTGCTTGCTTTTTTGTAATAAATACTCTGAATATAAAATTATTAAATGCATATTTGATACATTGCAAAGTAAATTAATTTCTATTTATCTGAGTTAACATTCCTCTTTCCTACACTTGAGCATCATTAGCATAAATGACTTTTTTAATAGAAGAAAAACCCTCTGCCTTGTGTTTTTGATGTAGAACTTGTCATGCTGTGTACTATGGACTTCTAAAATCTACTGATGTCTAAAATTTTAATTCGACCTCCCACCAGAAGTGATACTTCTGTATGTATTCAAAGTGTAACTTTCACTATTATGCAGCATGCTGTAAGCAAGCATTTGGCTCTTAATTTGAGACAGCTGAGAACCTGTACTTTTTCTATTCCCATGTGCTTGGTCTGTGTAAAATTATTGTATCTCATATCTACTTTATACAAATCTCATTCGCGGAGCTCAATAGTTACTTTCTCACTGCTATGTACCCACATTTATAAAGTGAAAGTGGGAAATTTTTCCACTGCAGCTTTCACTGTTGACTCTAGTACACTGAACACTTAATCTGGGTGTTTTCATTTTTAAGCAGTGGATATCTTGCTTACCAAAAGGGTAGGCTTTGTTTCTCTGAGATGTAAAAACATTCTTTATACTTAAGAGAACAACTGATATTTGAAAAAGTGGCAAATGAGTATTTTGCACCTGGCCACTTTTACTTTGGTGTTTTGAAGTATATTAATTCTTGTAATTGGTATAGTTTCCTAAAATTCTGATAGTCTTGTAATTTCTGTTCTGTATTTCATGTCTTTACTACCAAACAGTTTGTAAGCTAACTTGTAATGATGAATGATTCCATCCACTTCTTTCACAGGTAATCCGTTTTGATCACTTGAAAACTGCCAGAAGTGTCTAAAATATTCTGGTTTGCAGTGAGAAGTCCCTACTCTTTGGGACTGCATTGAAATAACTTTCTACCTGATGTTTTAAGACTAATATAAAAAAAGTCTCATGCAGTTAAAAGTACAGACAAAGCTGTGCTAAAGAAGGGGAAGGAGATGGAGAGAACATTTCTGATTTATACGCAATTTAAAATGGTAATGAATGAGCTAATCCTCAGATTACCGTATCTGTGGTAAGCTTTTTTTAGCTCTTAATAAACCAAGACCGTAATTTACTGAGTTTAGATCCCTCACTAGGTGGAGCTGTGAGATAGTTTCTGTCTTGTGAACTGAAATATCATGAATGTATTCATTGGCTTCAGATCCAAAGTGTTAGATTCTGTTTAAGGAAAACTGAGGTTTGTTTTCAAAACTATACCCATGAAATTAGAGCAGGATACTGCACTGTTAGTGGTGGCACAAAAGCAAGATATTTGCTGTTAATATCCTTAATAAGGGGGGTACTTTGGACACTTGACCATTTAAAATGTTAACATGCATTTTCTAAGTTCATAAAATTCCCAAACTTGATATGTGAGCTAAAGGGAGCATTGAATAATTAATTGTGCTGCTTGAAAATTGTCATGAGTAAAGAATAATGCATGTTTTTCAAGTCATTGTTTCTCAACCACTTCTTGCGTAATATCAAAAGGTCCTCTGTCATTTGGCATGTATAAAACAGTTGTCTGTAGAACAAAAAAAAAAGTACAAATGCAATTAACACCCTTTTTTGTTTGTTTTCCTATTCAGATTGTCCCACATGTGGTTAGTTTGGTTCATTCCTTCAAAAGAGATGGTTTACCTTCCAGTACAGCCTTTTTGATGCAGTTGACTGAGTTGATACACTGTATGATGTATCATTATTCAGGATTTCCAGAGCTCTATGAACCCCTTCTGGAAGCTGTTAAGGTATGTTAGGAATATAAAGGTGGTGGAATGTTTTTGTCTTGTTTTCCCAAATATGAAAGCTGTAATACCATAGATCTAAGTTCTTCAGAACTTCTGGGAGAAAAGAGCTAACCGCATGACCAAATGTCAGTTTTAACTGTTTGAAAAATGCTAGAAAAATTGTCCTGAATGTCCATGATATTATTGCAGCAGGCTTTAAGGAAAGCCTGAAATGAGGTCCTTCATTAAAAACACAATCTAATTTCTTAAGCCTCATGTAACTGTTAATATACTTTTTTGAAGGCATTTCATTTCAACCCAAGCTGGAAACTGTAACTCTTCAACTATAACTTCAGAGCACTGGTAGTATTGAAGAGAAGTAGGTTCTGAAGAGTACTTGGCATGGTGTTAATCTTTGGCTAGCTCCGAAACACCATTATTAAGCACTACGTCTTAATACTGTTGTCAGTATTGCATGCCTCTGTGGGTAAAGTATGCTGGATGCTGGCCTGTGCTGTTTTAAAGCAAAATTCAGGGTTTTTTAAATATAAATATTTATTTTAAAAATCCCAAAACAACACTCCAAACCAAATTAAAAATAACACAAAAACCACTGGGGTATTACTGTCTGATTTTATAGCAGTAGTATTGCAGTTAAATGCTTGACACTTAAAAAGCCCTATCAATTTAATTCCATGTGTTCTGGACTTTAGTCTTTCATTCTTACATTTTTATTCCTGCTCTGTCAAATATATTTCTAGCAGTATAGAGGATGCTTTAGGAGTCTGTTAAAGCTTGAAATTTGGGAGGTAGTTTTTCGTGGCAGAAAGGATTCTGTGAATATGCAGGTCAAAGGTGACGACCAGACCCTTATTCCTGCAATTTGAGAGTTGAGTAAAGAAAGCTTTGAAGAAGAGGGCTTTGGGGGGGTTGTATCTTCTAGGCTATCAGGGATAGCAAGACCCTGAAGGAGTGTATGGGAGCAAGTGAAGATATAAGACTGCTGAATGACAGGACCTATTATAAAAACAAATACAAAAATCTCTTAAGTGTGTTAAATGTTTCTCTTGTAGGATATGCCCAAACCCACTGAAGAGAAGATTAAGCTGATTCTCAGTCAGAGTGCCTGGACTTCTCAATCCAGTTCTCTGCCATCTTGTTTATCTAGACTTTCTGGAAAATCTGAAACTGGGAAGACAGGTCTAATTAATCTAGGAAATACTTGCTACATGAACAGTGTTATTCAGGCACTTTTTATGGCTACAGAGTAAGTCCTTTTTAACAGCTCTCTTCATTGCAAGTTAACTATTGCAATTGTTGCATTCTTGCTTTTCACAGAATATTAACATGTCCTGGGGTCTCTCAGCTTGCTTGAGCTGAGTGGGTTTCTTTGCACTCAGTTACTGATCGCTTCGTTAAAGTCCAGCTCTGTGAAACTGCAATTTTAGCCACTAAAATCCTGATCCTTTTTCCTCACTGTCCTTACTACTTTCAGTATTTTAAAAGTTTGTTGTGATGCTTTTGTTATAATCTGGAAGCTATTAAAAAAAAAAAATCTGGCTGTCCATTCATAGTCATTTCAATGTTTAAAGAAATAGTTTTTTTGCAGTGTTAGTTCCTACTGTATAGTAATTTTGTATCTAGAGCAGAATCCAGGTATTGAAGGGAAGTGTTACATGTTGCTTTCTTGCAAATGGAAGTAGTTATCTGAGCTGGAATGATAACAGCATTGTTGTTAGAAATCCAGAAAGGAAACTAATGTCTGGGTTTTTTTTTTTCAGTTTCAGAAGACATGTTTTATCTCTGAATCTAAATGGTTGTAATTCACTAATGAGAAAATTACAGCATCTTTTTGCGTTTTTGGCCCATACCCAGGTATGTCAGTTTTTCATCTGCTGTTTTTTAAGCCTAGATCAATATACCAAAACAGTGGAACAAACATGATGCTGTGGGAGTCCTCTTGAGTATATTAAAAATAAAAGTGATGGATTTGTAGGGGGATGAGTCTGCCTGCAAATGTTCACATGGTGTGGATGGACTTAGAGAAATCTGTATTTCATAAGTGTAACATCTTGGCATTGTGGTGTTTTTACAAATGAGCAGTAAAAGGTTTTCTTTGAGAAGCCAAAAAGAAAAAGTCCAAATAAATCCTAACTTGATATACAAGCTGAATTTGTGTAGCTTTCTAGGATAAACTGTGACTTTCTGCAGAGATTTTTACGCTAAACTTTATTAAAAATTCTGAAGTGAACTTTATTAAACGTTCAGAATATTTTGCTAGTGCTAGAAAGACATAAGACACTTTTGTTCTCTTTGATTACTAACAATAAACTTGTGAAGGGGATGAGGCTGGGTTGCCTTAAAAATAAATTGGTGCTTATGCAATACTGGTATTCTGAGGAAAGAAAACATTTTTTTTTTTTAAACTTGCCAGCAAGAAAAGTAACTGCTATTTCTCATAACATCTGGTTTACACTCACTACACATTTAATACTTGCCTGCAGGGTCTACTACTTTTACCTTTGTACTAGAGGTGATTACTACAAAATTAATGGTGTTCTTTTCCTATGATTAAGTGTGTTAAATGTTTGTCTGCCATGTGTTTCATACAGTTCCTCTAAAATAATGTAGTCCAAAGTTCAGTGGTCAATAAAAAAAAACACAACCCCAATTTTTTAAGTAGTTCTTATGTAACCTTGTCTGTCCCTCTCTTATGCAAACAGAGGGAGGCATATGCTCCTAGAATTTTCTTTGAGGCTTCCAGACCACCATGGTTCACCCCTCGATCCCAGCAGGATTGCTCAGAATATCTCAGATTTCTGCTAGACAGGTACAGTTTTTGTGCCATTAATGGGAATGAATCTACAGTTTTACCACATAATATTGAATTCTTAGGAGCAGTCATGTAACAGTTCCACTGCACGAATGGGGATCAGGAATTTTGGGCCTCATTCCTGGCTGTCTCTGATTTTCTGTATGGTCTATGAAACACTTCATGGGTTTAATCTGTGGTGAAGTCTGGATACCATCTTGTATCCATATCATTTAAAGCAGGTTATAGTGGTAGTTATGTTCCATTTTTACAAATCTAAACTTGGGTGTTATGTTAGTGACAGTCCTGTTGTAAAATTAATGTGGTTGATGAAACCTCTTTATTTCATACAGGTCAGATAAGTTCTGAAGGGATGTACATGCATTTATAACCAGCTTAATAAGCAAGCAAATTAACTGTGGCACATACAAAACAAAAATACCTAAATGTATTAGCAGCCCTCTTTAATTTTAGGTTGCTGAGATGTGGCTTAAGCAATATTGCTTTATGACACATTCCTTTTGTGGAGAAGTTTATCTCAATAGTGAAATAGTGGTTTTTATTTTTAATCCCTGCCCCTCCCCCCCTTTTTCATTTTTGGTTTAGTTTTTCTTGATGTAGTTTCTTAACATTCTTGGCTACAAAATCCTGACCTTTTCTTTTCTTTGGAAATAGTCTGGCACTAGGTAAATAGCTACTTGTTCTCTTACAAAATCTGACTTACAGAACCAGACAGATGGGGAACTGATAATGTAATGGTAAATAATAAAAATGTTGTTTGTTAGGTTTTTTTAATACTTGCCAGTTCTCTCAGTATATCCATAGTGTTCTATTACATATAATGATACCCACATTAAATGCATTTGTGCTTCTCTTATACTCTGTTTTGGATAGTACTGACCTGTATGGTTCAGCTTGCTTATATAAAAAATAACAAATAGCTCTTTTAATGTAAGACACTTCTTGTGACTCAACCATCTGTATTTTTTAGCATAACTGGGGGAAAAAGTCTGAAATGATGCAGCAATATTTGTTTGGAAAATAGCACAGCTACTTGGTTGTTTTTTTTTTTTGTCTTCAGGCTGCATGAAGAAGAGAGAACCTTGAAAGCGTTGTCTTCGGCAAAGACTTCTGAAAGTATAATGAACGAAGACTCACAGATTCAAGAAGCTGTCCATAAAGCACAAGTATTTGCTGAAACACCTCGTATGGGAAATGAAGAAAGAACTCTGATAGAGAAGATGTTTGGAGGAAAATTGAAGACTACTATATGCTGTTTGAACTGCAAAAGTATGTCTCAAAAGGAAGAAGCTTTCACAGATCTCTCTCTGGCTTTCTGTCCTCCAACTTCCTTTGAGAATGTTGGCCCAAAATGTGTGGAACGTTCTGAAGAGAAAGATGACGACGTGGTGCAAACTAGTACTTTAGCAACTAGCCCTGCTGGAGAAACACCTCTCGGTACTTTGGAAGTAAATGGTGGATGTGACACAATAATGAATGAAGGAACCATAAAAGATTTTTCTACTGAGCCAAACTCTGAGAATACCACAAATCCTGAACTCAACAAAGTTCAAGATAATGGGGATATGTCTCAGAGGCTAGCAGGTAAAACCACCCTGTCAGTTACAGACTTACTGAATTATTTTCTGGCACCTGAGATCCTCAGTGGAGACAATAAGTATTATTGTGAAAAGTGTGCCTCTCTACAGAATGCTGAGAAAACTATGCAAATCATCGAGGAACCTGAATACCTCATTCTCACTCTTTTGAGATTTTCATATGATCCAAAGTGTCATATAAGGCGCAAAATCTTGGACAATGTATCTCTGCCACTTGTTTTGGAATTGCCAGTCAAAAGAGCAACATCCCCTCTAGCTGTAGTTTCGGGAGGTTGGTCTGTTGGTGTTGAGATTTCTGATATTGGAGAAAATCTTGCTAAAAAACTCAAGCCTTCAGGTGCTGATGAAGTGACATGCCCACAATTGGTGCCCTACATGTTAAGCTCTGTGGTGGTGCATTCTGGTGTATCCTCTGAAAGTGGACATTATTATTCATATGCTAGAAATGTTACTGGGTCAGGGCCCTCAGGACTTTGCCACCAGTCTACAGCTCTTTCTTTAGTTTCTCCTCAGGATAAGTTGTTGGCAGAGGAGAGTCCTTGTACTGTTGTAGAAAATGAGCTGGACACTGAGATGCCAAGAGAGTGGTTTTTGTTCAATGACAGCAGAGTGACATTTACCTCATTTCAGTCAGTCCAGAAAATTACCAGTAGGTTTCCAAAGGACACTGCTTATGTTCTGTTTTACAAAAAACAAAATAGCACCTGTGGCTTCAACACCAATTCAGCAAATGGACTCTGGGTAAATGGAGACCCTCCCCTACAGAAAGACCTCATGGATGCAATTACGAAAGATAACAAACTGTACTTGCAGGTAAGTTGGAAACTGTGTATGAAGAGTGGTCTCAAAACTTCCAAGAGGCTGTCTAAAAGAAAGAAAAAATTAGCTTTAAAATATTCTGGTATATTAACCTTGTAAATTGCTAATCTCAGTTCCATCTTGATGTTGCTAGACAGGTTTCATAGTAGTGTTGCCACCATTAGATGGGAAGCATCAAGGAAAATGGCTTAAACTCATTTCAGTTTAAATTTTTAGCAGAGATGCTTGCACAGGTTGTTTAACCACTTGTAATTCTACGCAGGAGAGGCTTTTCAAACAATTCTAATTTTCATGGCCTTTCATAAATTACAAGAGTAGCTAAAGTATACTTAAGAACTTCTTTGCAGTGTTCCTGCTAGCGCATTTTCATTTGGAGTGAAGTATTATTTATACAACTTGTGCTTACCCAAATGCTAGAGCCACTAAAATGAAGACCAGATGCTAGTGACTAGATGCCGCTTTCCCTTTGCTGCCTATTTTGCTTCCTTCTGTGGGACCCGCACTGCCAGCCACACATTCCTTGGGCTATGAGAACTTCACCTAGCTGTAATTGCCTCTTCGATTGCTCTTACAAAAACCCACTGTCCTCCACATTTCAATATGGTTTGCTTTGAGCATTGCTTCTGTGTTTGGATGTTGTAACAGTAACTGTGTTTTACTGTGTGCTCTTTGGTTTAAGCTGTTCCTGTAAGACTTCTAGACCTGCTCAAATTGGAAAAACTAGGTAAATTCAAATTAGAAAAGAACAGCTACGCCTTGCTGTGGAAAATGTTATAATAGCTGCAGGTATTTTGCAAACATAAACGAGAACTGAGAGTTTAAATTGCAACTCTGCTGCTGTTTTCAGACTGTGTGGTTAATGCGTTTCTGTCCTAACCATCTTCATTTATATGCCACCTCTCCTCTTGACTGTATAGGGTACCACAAAACATGGCTTCTTTAGCAGCGATCTCAGATCATAGAATAGTTTGGGTTGGAAGAGAGCTTAAAAGGTCCTCTAGACCAGCCCCTTGGCAATGAGGAAGGACATCTTCAAATAGATCAGGTTGCTCAGAGCCTCATTTGACTTGACCTGGAATGTTTCCAGGGATGGGGCATTGCGGGAGAAGGATGGACTTCACAACTCTGAGAGTTATATTCCGAAGCCGTTTATTGTCTTGTCTGACTCCAATATATATCATAATTTTCGCTTAGTCACTGCGCACACACTCATGATTGGTTACAACTTGTTACACACACTATTGCAATTGGCTATATACAAAATATCACGCGCTGTCCACGCGCCCCTCACACAGTCAGGATTGCTGCTTGCAGGTGTTCCTGTTTTCCTCGCTTCTTCTTAGTTGTTTACCACAGCTCCTTCTCCTCAAGGCCGAGCCGTGCAGATATCCAGCTGTTTACCAGCTTCTCAGTGCCACAGCTCCTTCTCCTTAAGGTCGAGCCATGCAGGGTGATCCCAACAGGGCATCTACCACCTCTCTGGGCAAACTGTGCCAGGGTTTTACCACCCTCATTGTGAAAAATTTCTGGCTTATATCTATCCTGAATCTACCCTCTTTTAGTTTGAAACTGTTACTCTTTGTCCTATCGCTACAGGCCCTGATAAAAAGTCTGTCCCCATCTTTCTTATAAGCCCTCTTAAATACTGGAAGGCCACTATCAGATCTCCCCGGAGCCTTCTCTTCTACAGGCTGAACAACTCCCACTCTCTCAGCCTGTCCTCATAGCAGCAGTGTTCCGTAACTGTGATTTTGGTGGCCCTCCTCTGGACTTGCTCCAACAGGTCCATGTGTTTCCTGTGCTGAGGGCTCCAGAGCTGGACATGCACTGCAGGTGGGGTCTCAGCAGAGCGGAGTAGAGGGGCAGAATCACCTCCCTGGACCTGCTGGCCATGCTTCTTGTGATGCAGCCCAGGATATGGTTGGTTTTCTGGGCTACGAGTGCACATTGCTGGCTCATGTCCAGCTTTTCATCCACCAGTACCCCCCAGTCTTTCTTGGTAGGGCTGCTCTTAATCCCTTTATCCCCTAGGCTGTATTGATACCGTGGGTTGCCCTGAATGAGGTGCAGGACCCTGTACTTGGCCTTTCTGACCTTCATGAGGTTCACATGGGCCCATTCCTTGAGCTTGTCCAGGTCCCTCTGAATGGCATGCCATCCCTCAGCCATATCCTCTTCCTGGGATACCTCTCCTTGCTTGCTTCCACTGCCTGTGCATTCCCTTCTCGCCCTTTAGTTTGACCAGCCAGCCATGCCAGCCTCTTGCCTTCCTTTCCTGATTTCTTACACCTGGGGATTGAGACCTCTTGCACTCTATGGAAAGCATCCTTAGAGATCTGCCAGCTCTGTTATGCTCCCTTCTCCCTGAGGGCAGTTTCCCAGGGGGTCTTACTAACTAGCTCCTTGAAGAGATGGAATTTTGCTTTCCTAAAATTCAGGGTCCTGACTTTACTCTTCACCTGCCCCATATCCCTCAGGTCTGCGAACTCCACCAGTGTGTGATCACTGCAGCCCAGCCCAGGCTGCCTCCAATCTTGACGTCACCAGTTAGCTCACTTGTGTTGGTGACAAACAGGTCCAGTATTGCATCACCTGTCTATTACCTGGCCTAAGAAGTTATTCTCAATGCATTCCAGGAGT